TTTTTAAAAATTATTAAAAAATAACAGATGGTGTCTTCATGAAAGCCAAAAACCAAAATCAGTTCAATAATTTGAGAGGATTAAAATCTGTTAATTTTTTTTTCTCCAGTGGCAAAATTCCAGTGGCATGCAACTGGCCAGTCTTTCTTGGAAAAGAAGTCCACAAAAAAAAAATGAGGGCATTTGTAAAAGTGCTGGCAGAAAAATGCCTATTTGGGAGGAATTAAACAAGGAGACATAAACTCTTACTATTTTCTGGGCTTTTTTTATACAATGGGAGGTAAAGTTTGTTACCAGATGTTCATTTAGGTGTGCCACTACACACAATTTACACAATGTACAACTATCAAATCAAAAGGGACAGATGATATCAATGTATTAGATTTTTAAAAAAACAACAAGGAAGTGGGATGCATTTTAAGTGGTCCCATTTTTGCAAGAATCCAGCAATCAGTCCCTCTAGAATGGTCAAACTAACAAAAACTCATAGAACAATGGAAACTTAATTAACTCAAACCCATAATTCAATGAATTCATTTTGTACCACACTGAGCCATGTTAAATTTGAACGTGTTTGCAAGAGAAGATAAAACCTTTCAAAAGCTCAACACAAACCATACAGTTAATGAACAATCTGGTCTCCTCAATCCTACCTGCCTTCTCCAGCTCATTACTATTCATGATCAAAGTATATTCATAAGTGCCACCAAGAGTTGCTTCAGTGATGTAATGTGTTCCATAATCTCTGAAAAGATCACGATATTCTCCATAGCTATACACCAGAGGCAACCGAAGGATCCTCTGGAAGAACTCAGAGTGAAGCATCAGGTCCTGTCTCTTCAGTTTATATTGAGCAACTTCCAGTTCTGCATGTGCATGGACAAACCTGCTAGACTAAAGGAAAGCATCAGAAGAGATTTACATTAACTACAGGTAGTCCTCAACTTACAACAGTTTGTGTTTGTGACCATTCAAAGTTACAACGGCACTGAAAAATGTGACTTGTGACCATTTTCCACAGTTGTGACCTTTGAAACATCCTCATGATCATGTGATCAAAATTCAGATGCTTGACCATGGGTTCATACTTATGACCTTTGCTGTGTCCCAAAGTCATGTGAGCACCTTTTGAAACCTTCTGACAAGCAAGCTCAAGGGGGGAAGCTTAACAACTGGGTTACTAACTTATCAACCTCAGTGATTCACTTAACAACTGTGGCAAGAATGGCCATAATGTTCACTTAACAAATGTTGAACGGTCGCAAAACTCACTTCACAACAGAAATTTTGAGCTCAATTGTGGTGGTAGATCGAGGGCTATATGTTGTTATACTGTTAAATGTTTGTTAGAACTCTATATGTAGAGTGAAACTGAGTTTGATTCTAGATATTGGCACTTCATTTTTCAATTACAAAGTGATTGTTCTACGATAATGCTGCACCACACCCAGTCTTTTACAGCCTCATTTTTGTGTGAATTTGCTTTGACAAGATTCCCACCCCCCCAAAAAAAAGCTCTCATAAGGCACAACACAGCTATTTTATTTATTAAACCCCCAGGCTTTAAAAGAGGGTACTAGAATTAGTTCCAATCTGGTCCCCATAATTTCAAACATCACTGCCATGCCCCTTGCCAACCTTTTCAAATGAAAAAAAGGGGGGGGGGAGCCAGTTGTTCCTTTGAAAAAAATGTTATCCAGGTGAATATGCCCATGTACAATAAATGCTAAATTTAACAACCTCTATACATTATGAATATTTTTGTGATTTATTTATTAGATTATATCCTGTTTTTTCCCTAGAGTACAAAATAAATTATCTAAGTACCCCCATTTACAGGATCTAAAGTAAACATTTTTATAAGTGCAGAAAGAGATGACACACTATAGCTACAGATGGAGATTGTCTGGCATTGCTCTCGTAAGTAAAATATATGAACCTCAGAAGAAAAAAACATCTTGTTTTTCATAATTTTAAAAAAAGTTACATGGTTTTCTACCGCTCATATTTTAATTCTAATTCTAAGTGTGTGCATTGAATAAACTAAAATAAGAGCCTAAGAAGAAACACAAGAAAAGTTTACCGTTGAAGAAAATCTTTTCGTCCTGCTAACAAATTTTTGATATCGCTTGTCATTTTTATTGTAACTAAATTTAAATAGACGGGGTATAGTTAGTCCAATGCTAAAACTTTCTTCTTTTGATTTTGCCCTGGAGACGCTGTGTTCAAAACTTGAATACGATTCGTGCGCAGTCATTGAAAATTCATATTTGCCTTTGGTCTAAACACAAAGCAAGGGGGAAAGAAATAACATCTCAAGTGTCATGTTTGAAATGTAGGAAGGAACAAAGGAAAAAATTAGAATGAAAAGTAGTCCACAATAGGTTACATGCTAAAATTAGGATCAGAACATGTAGCGGTGAAGATAGATAAACAATGAAACTACAGCAACACATTTTAATAATATATTTAGATAAAGGCAAAATCTGCTGAAATTTTATTCCTAACTGTGTTTTAATGGATTACTGTTGTACACCAACTTACTCAATGTTATTGATTGATTGCTTAAGGTAAATATAATTTGTGCACACATGTTTTCCAGTCACGGATATACCACATTGTGATTTTAGTCATTTTAATTTTACATAAATAATTTGTCCTCAAACATAGGTTGTATATGGCTTAGTGCAATAAGGAATGCAAATATTGTAACAATGTAATTTGTTCATAGAAGTTGCTAAAAACGTTAAAATTAGAAGAGTAATCTTATTCAAAATCTAGATTAGCTGTATATTTGCACATAGCAGAGGTTTACTTAGTCTTAGTTCCACCTGAAACATCGTGAGCTTTCCGAAAATCTGTTCCAGTGTTTAAGAATTGCAAAGATTGCTGCCCTGTCTGTGTTCTATTCAAAATATTTTACCTGATCCAAATTCCCTATAGGAAGGAAATACAGAAGGGCATGCTTAGTTCCAACAAAGCATCTATGAAGTGGCCTTCTGGGTGACAGTTAGGTTGACCGATAATATTTGGGAAGGCTCAAATCATTTGAAATCCAACTAAAACAACTAAATGTAAAATAAAATGTAGGAGTGAGCAGTGATTTTTTTTAAAATAGAGCATATCTAATATATTATATATAGTAAATCAATCTCAGGAATTTAGTATTAAAATAAGTTAAATAAATCAATGATTCAAAATTTAATTGAGTCTTGGTGAAGATTATTGAATCTTTTAAAAATAATGTAAGAATTAATTCTGAGATACTCACCTCAGCCAAATAACTTTCTACATTGTATGGTTTTCTAAAACCAACAGTACCAATATGTTGTGGCCGACATGCTCCTGCATAATATTTATAGTCAAGAATCACCCCTTCTAGATTGTTTGTGAAAGCATTAAAGCTGGGAATAAAAGATACAGGTGGAGTCAATAGATTTGCACATTAATTAAAATTTTGCAGTAAGTGCCTTTTAGTTCTGCATGTAAAGATTGGACTATGTGGAAGGCATATACCAGCCACAGGTATATATATAGCAATAGCAATAGCAGTAGACTTATATACCGCTTCATAGGCCTTCCAGGCCTCTCTAAGCGGTTTACAGA